TCCTGCGCGCCGTGGCGGGCGCAGGCGTGCTGTCGGGCTACGACCAGCTGCAGCTCATCATGTTTGGCAAGAAGTTCGGCGACGGCTCTGGCTAGAGCGGCGGCCAGCTGGGTGGCAGATGGCGGCCCGGGGGCGGTGCAACCGAGTCTAGCGCAATCTGAACCAGCGGTGGCGGTGGCTTGATTGTCAAGAGGTCGCACGTCCTCGCTGCCAACTGTATGGTAGCTGAGGCGTGGCGGCATGGCTTGTCGCAGCAGATCTTCTCTCTTTTCCTTGGTTGATGTTTGCCTAGGGTGCAGCCAGTGCCGTGCTTGAACCCATGGCACCTGGCAATCTTCACTCTCAAGTGTGCACTTGTGGTGGCCTTGATCTTGGATTCGGCAACGGCTTGCAAAGTCGTCAAAGTGTTACCGCACCAATACATGAGCCAATATCCTGAGCGGCAATGGCAATTATATCGGTGCAGTGACAGAGCTGCACATGGTGGTCTCGGACTGAACGTCAACGGGGCACTCAACCAGCTCAGCAACAAGCGGAACGGAAAGCAAAAGTGCAACCCCACTTCCTGCCCACAGCCAACATATCATGCTCACCTCGACAGCAAAAAGGCCGCCGCTGCCTGAATTCTACCCTACTGCCTCCTCACCCCCCGCACGCGTCTCAGCCCTGAAATCACCTGCGGCATGGATGGGCCAGTGCCAAGGCCACCGCCGCCCCCATTGCGCCCGATCGCGTTCGCCACCGTCAGGCCAGCTGAGGGTGCGCGCCTGCTTGGGCCCCGGCGCGGCGGCTCAAAGTCCGAATCGGAGTCCTCACCGCCGCCTCCGCCCTGGCTGGGCCCTTGCGCATTGTCGGCTGCAAACACAGGTGCCAAAGCCGGCTCGGCGCTCACTGTGCTGCGCGATATGCTGGGGCCTGGACCGGAGCCGCTGCTGCCAACTCCGCCTGCCACCAGCGTGGGCGCAGAGCCAGCGAGCCCTGCGTTGCGCAGCCGTGCAAACAGCGGGGCAGGCTCCGGCGATGGTGGTGCTGGCGCGGCGGCCGCAGGCGCAGCAGCGCCGCCTGGCTGCTGCCGCTGTTGCCCCTGCTCCTGCTGCCGCTGTTGCCCCTGCTGCTGCTGCTGCTGCTGCTGCTGCTGCTGCTGCTGCTGCTGCTGGAGTGCCGGCTGGATGCTGGAGACGGCACGCGGGCCCACGTGCCTCTCGTGGCTCTCCACGATGAGCACCTCCTCATCGTCGGTGCTCATGGCGATGCCGCCCAACTCCAGTGGGGACCCGAGGGCGCCGTCAACTATGAAGTCCAGCACTTCATCCGGCAGCCCGGACTGCTGCTGCTGCTGCTGCTGCTGCTGCTGCTGCCGCCCTGGCCCCTGCTGCCGCGCCAGTCTGGCGCGCCCCCCATTGCTCAGCCGCCACTCGCCGGCACCCTCCGCCCCCTGCCGCGCGCCCGAGCCACCTAGCGCGGCGATGAGCCCGGGGGAGGGCGGGCTGAGCTGCCCTGAAAGCAGGAGCTCGTCAAAGTCAAAGGCAGCGCCGTCGTCGCCGTCATCACTCGAAAGCACCACCACCTCCGGCGCTGCTTGCGGAGCGCGCCTAGCAGTCGCCAGGGGCTGAGCCGCACGCTGCGGCCCCCGCCACCCGATCCGCTGGCCCGGCTGGTGCCGTGCGTCATGCTGCTGCGCCGCCATCACTTGCCCACGGGTGGCGGGTGCCACTCCACCAACCGCCCGACGACTGCCGTCGCCGCTGCCGCCGTGTGGCTGTGGCAGCTGCTCCTGCTGGAGTGCTGCAGGGCGCGCCCTCGCGCGTGGCGGCTGGCGCCGGCGCCCCGCTGCTTCATGCAAGCCTCCGTCAGAGTCTGGGGGAGCAAGTGACAACAGTTCGGCCCAAAACGGCGATCAGCAAGCCCCGTGGCGCGTTCGGGCGCCAACGCTCGGGCCCACGTGCCAGGCACAAGTGCAGACCGCCCCACATGCCGACCGACGCCCCACCCCTGCCCATTCGCGGCCCCCGAAGGCAACACCCCAGTATCGCCCGCCCACCTTCCCCAAAGACTGTTGCCAGCAGCGCCTCCAGATCAGACTCCACCTCCTCGTCCTCGTCATCATCGCCCCCTCGGCTTCCCGCGCCCCCGCCGCCGTGGCCCTGCAGCTGCGCCAGCAGCATCGCCTGCAGCTCAGCATCCCCCTCATCCGCGAGCCAATCGTCGTCGTCGTCGTCGCTGGGCGCGCGGCGTGCGCGACGGCGCGGCGCGGCTGCCGGCGCCGCCACAGGGCGTGCGCCCGGCTGGACGTGCCTGCCGGCCCAAGCGGCGAGCGGCGCGATGGGCGGTCTTGACTTGCGCGCACTTTCCTGCACGGTGGCAACAGGGACGACCCCACACCACTGATCTTGCAGGCATAAGACTTGACAGCGCATCGTGTGCCACCTCCCACACACCTGGGCGGACGGAACTCCTGCCGCAGCACATCGCTGGCCGGCATGAACCCGCCCGCCGCTGCGACCGCCACCGGCCCCGCCCGCCGCCGCAGGCCGCCAGCCGGGCCGCGCCGCGCGCCTAGTGTGCGCGCCGGCCGCGGGGGCTCGGCGGGCGTGGGTGGGGGAGCCTCAGCGGCGCGCTGTGGGAACAGCAGCTGGATGGTGTTCCACAGTGCCGTGTTGACCTTGAGGTCCCAGCCTTTGATCGTCACAGTAATTTTATAGGCGGGTGGGGTCGTAGCGCGCTTTGTAGGTTGTGGTGGTTGCGGCAAGCTTGAGTGCGAGCGATGCGGCGGCCATCCTCTTGCCTCCCCTCAGAACGCAGACCGCAGACGGTCCACATTCACGCTTGTGATGGATGCACGGGAAGCATGCATGCTCAGAGTGCTGCAGCAGGCCGCTGCCAGCACACCTGTCGGCAGGGCCTCGCGGCACTTGGGGCACCGCCTGTTGTGAGCCAGAGTTTGGCGGAGGCAGCTGCGGCAGAAGCTATGACCTGGATGGGCCGTGAGGGCAGGTGACATGGCTGCGTGTAAGCAGAGGCTCACAACAAGGCTGTGGAGCAAAAACCTGTGTCTTACAGCCTGTGTCTAGCCTCCACAGGGCGCTTCCAGCTGCACACCCAGGCGCACCGCATGGCGTGGTGCACGGCCGGACGCATATGTCCAGGCAGATGCAGCAGCTCAGCTCCTCTCGCAGCTCGTTGATGCACAGCAGCCTGCGCAGTGCTCGTGCCGTGATTTGAGGGGTTTGGCATGGCGGTGGTGTCGGCTGCATAGACGAGGGCTGGGCAGCTGCTGGGTGGCCCGGAGGTGCTTGTTCTGTGGTGCCTGCGCGTTCATCGTGAGCCTGCGCATTTGCACACAGGCCGCCCGCAGTGGCAGGGGTGCCCAGGACCCCCTGCCACCCCAGGCGCAGTGCGGCCCCCACCTTGATGGGGTGACACCAGCAGGGGGCACCCTCTCGGCGATCCCGCCGCGGGCGCTTGCTGCCCTGCCGCCCATGCCGGCCGCTGACTCCTCTGCCGCAGCGTCGCTTGTCCGCCTCTGGGTTCGGGGCCTGTGCAAGGCCCAGATACGTGAAGGTGGTACATGTATGCAGAGAAAATCAGCACTCTGGGTTGCCGCATCCGCTCACAACAGACCGGGGTTATGCACAGCGCCTTGCCCTCGCAACTTCTCCCCAACTCGCCTGGCCATGCTTGCCGGCGTCGCCAGGCTCTCTGCGCGCTTGCCAGCGCTGCCATCGGTGCCGTCCCCAGGTCCGCTGCGCCGTATGCTGACTGTATTGAGGCGGTGAGTCAGGTCCTCCAGCTCGCGCCCGGCTGCTGCCCCGCCCGGGCCAGATCCTGCAATAAGCGTGCAGCGGCAGAGCGCAACGGGGCGCGGCCGAGCGGTGAGGGGCACGGGCGTCGTCAGTGTTCTGTCGGCGGCCTCTCATGGCCCAAGTGCAAGGCAACCCTTGGAACATGGATGAAATCCCAACCGGCACCAATCCTGTCCAGGGTGCATGCTGTATGTTGGGCCTCCGCTCCGAGGAGCAACACAGGATGCTGTGTGCAGCGCTCTCGTCGGCGATATGCAGCTGCAGTCAACCACGCATGTCCTAAGCGAACGCCTTGTACGACTTTAATTGACGTTCACCTGGCGTCCTTGGCTCTGGAGACAGCATGCTGGGGCGGAGCCCGAGCGCGACTGCAACAATCGTGCTGTGGATCTACTGTACCTAGGCCACATCTACGGTACGATTCAAGCAAGTCTAATGTATGCTAGTGTCAGTATTGCTCGCTATACTGAAGGCAAGGCCCAGGCACGACAGCTGCCAAACCAAAATTGAATTGATGCAATGCTCGACTGCAGGTGCTGCATGGCAGCCTGCTGCTAAGAACGTTGCAATGTGCCGGTACAGCGATTGTCAACACGGGGAATCCACAAAATGGTGCATGACGGAGTCATCAGCAGCATGTGCAGGGCAGCGGGCAAACGTACACCCGTGCCGGTACGGTAGTCAACTTGTCAACCGGGCTTGGTCAATGAGCCATTCCACAAGACACAGCAGTATGCTAAGCATGCCGTTGTGCCGTGCTCACAGCACGTTGTTATCGAATGCAAGACAATGCAACCATGTGCCTTGCGTGCGGTGGCTGCTCTGCATCTTGTCGCAACGCATTGACGGTATACACAACTCCACGCGCTTTATACCTCCAGCACAGAGTAGTGTGAGGCCCACAGTTTCTGAGACGCAGTGGTGATCCAATTTTGAATTTCCCTTGTTTGCTCAGGCTGCTTCTCACGTAGCCGGAAGTGCGCCTCGCCCCTGGTGACAAAACAACTAGGAATGAAACGAGGTTGCTAGGAGGGTGCGCTGCGTCCAATCTGTATGGAGCATGAGAGGCAGCTACTTGATGATGCATGACCTGATCACCCAGGTGTCGCGCCTGGACCGACCCATCTGCATGACTCGTGGGCACCCGCGGGTTGGCGGGGCAGTGCATGTCGCCATGAAGGTCAGGGAACGGGCAAAGGGTTGTAAAGCTAGTGGCTCATGTTCCAGCCTAGCCAGACAAGCTTCACTCCAAACATTTATCCCCAAGCAATCTCGCCCGCAACCTACGTGCCCCATCATCGTCCGACACGATCCCATCATCGCACAGCGTGATCGTCTCTAGTGCTGACCCCTTGTTGTTTGATAGCCGCGTCGGAGATTGAACCCTCATACTAGTAAATAAACTTACAATCACGTCGCCTAAGGTCCAAGTTGCTCGTGACGAAGGTCAAAAAGCCGCATAACCTGCAAGGCAAGGGCTTACGCATACTGCACACTCATGTGACTTGAGCACTGAACGGGCTTGTGATGAGGGACCTGCAAGCGCTGCCTTTGCTCGATTGCCGTACCCCGTAGCAAGCCATATGTCGGGAGCGTTGGCGCGCGCCACTCGAAAAAAACCGCAATCAATCCCAGGCAGTGCGCCGTGCCCGCGTGTGCCTCACTTTGTTAGCCTGAGTCGATGAGTCACTTGAGCCAAATCACAGACAGCTGACCGGTTCGTTCATTGCGTGTGCCACCGGCCCGCCAACTGACCCGCTCGCACCCCACTTCACAGGCACCAGTTCCCGCGCGCGTTCCACGCGCCCAGCAAGGCGGCCCGCGCCCGGCCAGCAGCCATGTCGGAGCACGTCGGCGCGCCGTTCACGGCGTACAACCAGGCCAGCGCCCCAAAGGTGCTCACAGGCAACTTTTTCGAGGAGCGGGCCCTGCTGGCCGCCACGGGCATCGCGCGGCGCGCCCCAATCCCGGCCGCCGGCGCCGCTGGCGTTGCCAGCCGCGGCGGCGACGTCTCCACCGCCGCCTCGGACGCGTCCCCGCGGGCGTCCGGTGCTTGCGGCTGCAGCAGTGGCGGCAGCGTGTTCCCGAGCCCAGAAGAGAAGGCCGCCAACGCAGCGCAGCCGGCGACTTTTCAGCGCGTGATTGAGCACAGCGAGCAGCAGGTGGGTGGGGGGGGGGAGTGGGTGTGCTCGCGCTCACCTTGCTGTCTAGACGCCGGAAAATCCAGGACGCAGGCTCGTTGGCGTGCAGGGATGAGATGCACAATCCGGGCTGATGAGCGCTTGGTGCCATTTGTCAGCCTCCTGCGGCCGACACAGCCCCCGTCCACGTCAAAATGAGGGCCTCGTTTCACCACCGCCGAGCTTGCCCGCTGACCGGCTCCTGCCCGCCCGCCTCACTTCCACCACTTTCAGTCCCCCGCGTCCTGGGCCAGCCACGCGCGCGCCGCCCATGCGCCGCCGGCCGCGCTGCGCGATTCGCTGCCCGGCGCGCACAAGGGCTGCCCATCTGTCGGCCCGCGCGAGGCCGAGGAGCTGCGGCGGCTGTGGCAGCGGGCCGCGGCCGCGGCGGCCGCGGCGCGCGAGGCGCCGGCGACGGCGGCGCCGGAGGGGTGCCGCGCGACCGCGTACGCAGAGGCTTTCAAAGCGCCGCCATTGGAGGGCCAAACGTGAGGGGGCCCGGCTGGGGTTGGGGGTTTCCCATTGGGGCGCGCGTTTTTGGGGCGCCTGCAGCACATGAATTCGCTCACGCCTGAGCACACATCCATCGCTACATGCTCAGCCCACCACTGCGGCGAGCCAGCGTGCGCCGCGATTGCCGCATAACAAAGCGCAGCCTGGAGCCCAGGGGCTGCCCTCGTCGCCACCGGAGATCCGCCCCCACCCACCCTGCCTCCCATTCACATAGAGCCCTCACCCTCACTCCTCACCCAACCCTCTCTCCCGAAACCCTGCCAGGCTCGGAGCGCGGGTCATGAAGACGCGCGATGGCGGCCCTGTGTTGCGCGACCCCGAATTTCTGGTGGAGGCCGGCCTGCTGGACCGCGCCATCGCAGGCCGCGTGTTCCGCCGCCAGCTCGCCTTCAGACACCGCTCGGGCTCGCCCGCGCTTGGATGCGGCGGCGGCGGCGGCACGCCCGGGGTCGTGGGCCCGGCGGCAGCGGCGGCGGCGGCTGCGACGGGCGGCAGCTGGGCGGGCATGGCTGAGGCGCATGCTACGGGTGACGACGAGCCCGTGACGATCTACAGCTTTGACTGGCAGCCTGCGGCTGGCGGCAGCGGGGGCAGGGCTTGCGGCCCTGCCGCGGGCGCCCTGGACCGCGGCTGCGGCGCGACGGCGGGCGGCGGCAGCGGCGTTGCGCTGACGGCTGCGGCGACGTCGGGCAAGCACGTCCTGACCCAGAGCTTTTACGGCACGGGGGGTTCCAAGGCGCGGCCGATGGCGCGCAACGACCAGTTCACAAAGCTGGCGGGTGACGTTAACAAACTGCCCGGCGTCTGACTGTCTGCAGAGGGTCAAGGCCCGTCTGCTCCCACTTTGCTGGTCCCCTGTCTTCTGAACCCTGCCGTGTTGCCTGCAGCCACCAGTTTTGCACGGGCCCGTGCCCAGGGGCAAGTTGGCGGCCTTGACGCACACACGCACGCAGGCCGTGCTGCTGTGGCTGCCACACCGCCCAACTCTGTGTAATACATATATGCAGCGCCCAATGTGAAGACTTGCGATTGCCAAGTAATGACTTATTACAGGTGAGAAGGTGCAAACTCCACATAAGACGATCTTTTTGTATTGAGATGTCCAAAACATCAACAATGGGCAACATATCAGCCATCATGCTTGCAAAAGGGTGCGGATTCTTGCCCGGCACGCTGGCGCGGCTTGCTCAGCCGGCAATCGGGGTTGAGGAGACCTCGGCGGGGTGCACGCGCACGCCGCGACCTACGTGTGGCGGGCGTGCGTGGTGCAGCGGCCCGCCCCTAGTGCCTGGATATGCCTCGCTATCGCGGCGGCGTTGTGGGTGAGAGGTGCGCTCTGGCAGGGGCAGCTTGAGCCCAGCCGCTTGTTCAGCGAGGGACTCGCCAAAGGGTTGTCGGCGCAGCGACTAGACAGTTTGCTGATGGTATTTGGCATCGTTGTTGACGATGATGTGTAATGAGAGCACACATGTGTCTGTGCCGAGGCACTGAGCAGTGTCCTAGACCCTCCGTGTGCACGCAAATCAATGCATGGCCATTCCAAACCCCTGTAAGGCGCCCGCCTTGGCCCCGCACGAAACCGCAGCCAGAGCCAGAGCAATTCCGGTAGGTGGCTTCTTCTGGCCCCACACCAGCGTGCACACCAGGGCGGCGGCCGCCACGCCGGACGGGCACCCGCGCTTGTTGGTTGCCCAGCGGGGGGGCGGGTGTAACTAGCAGGTGTAACTAGCCGCTGAAGCTGTTGGAGCCGCCGTCGGCCGAGTTGAAGCCGAAGTTCACGGTGCCCGGCGGCAGCAGCCCGCAGAAGCCGAGGACCTTGGACGTCGAGGCGCTGTCGGCGTTGGCGTTGAACGCGCCGCCGCCGCAGCTGGCCGTCGCGAGGGCGCGCGCCTTGGACAGCACGAGGCAGCCGTTCTTGTCCTGGTTCAGCGCGACGGCAAAGGCGGACGACCACGCGGTCGCATAGTCGTTGCGGCCGCTGCAGAACACCTCGGCCGTCGCCTCGGCCACGGCCGCCTGCCCGTCGCCGCCCTGCGCCACCGCGCGCGCCATGGCCTGGCCGTACGCGTACTGCCCGTCGCCGCCGCTGCTGGTGCAGGCGTCGGCCATGGCGAGGCCAAAGTTGCGCAGCGAGCCGCGGCCGCGCGCAGCGACGAACGCGTCGGCCGTCGCGTCCGCAAAGGGGTTGACCTGGCCGCGCGAGAGCGCGAACGACGCGGAGCGGCTGAAGAGCGTCGACAGCGGCCGCACGCTGTTGCTCTCGGCGGCGGCGTACGCGAGGGAGTCGCTGATGCGCCCGCGGCGGCCGGCGGCGGCCGCATCGACGATGCCCTGCGCCGCGGCCTCGGAGTTGATCTGGCCGAAGATCATGCTGCGGCCGACCGACCGCGCGTCTGCGGACGCGAACGACTGGCTGAACCGCGCGGCGTCGGCCGACAGCGGCCGCAGCGCGCCGCCGCTGTTGCGCGACGGCGCACTCGGCAGGAGGCCCGAGAGGATGGAGCGGTCATAGAGGCGCGTGCCGACGCCCAGGCCGTTGGCGCGGCCACCGCCGAGGCCGGGCAGGGAGCCGGCGCCGTTGAAGGCGCCGCCGTTGTTGAAGGGGTTGCCGCCGTTGAAGGCGCCGTTGTTGCCGAACCCGTTGCCGAGGCCGCCCAGCCCTGCTGGGCGCACCGCGCCCGGGGGGACGCCAGCGTTCAGGCCGCCAAAGCCTGGCATCTGCGGGCGGCCGGTGAAGGGGTTCTGCTGCTGCCGGTCACCACGGCCGCCGCCGAAAGGGTTGCCCTGCTGGGCGCCGAAGCCGCCAAAGCCGCCGGGCTGGGCGATGGGAGACAGACCGGCAGACCCGCCGAGGCCGCCGCCGCCAAACAGGCCGCCGGGCTGCTGGTTGGCCGCGCCGCCGCCGAACAGCCCGCCGCCGTTGTTGCCGAAGCCGCCGCCGCCGCCGAAGCGCCCCTGCAGGCGTTGGTCTATGGCCTGCTGCGCACGGTCGCGGACAGAGCCGCCGCCCAGCCCCCCACCCAGACCGCCGCCGAGCCCGCCAAAGCCGCCGGACGGGCCGCCGCCGCCAAAGCCGCCGGGGCGGCCGCCCCCGAAGCCGCCGCCGCCGCCGCCAAAGCCGCCGCCGCCCCCAAAGCCGCCGAGCGGAGGGGTGCTGTAGCCGGGGATGCCGCCCCCGAAGCCGGGCCGGCCGCCACCCATGCCGCCGCCCATGCCCCCCCAGCCGCCCGGGAAGGCCTGGTCAACTTTCTTGTCCTCCTTTGCGTCCTTCGCGGCCGCCGCGCTTTGGGCGCCATCGACCGCCTTGGCGCTGTCTGCGGCCTGCAGCAGGCGCCCACCTGATGGGGGTGGGTTGGCATCAAGCGACGCGACAAGTGAGTGGGTCGCATTTTCAACTGCAGGAAGGGCTGAGCGCCGACTGCGTTCTGTCGAGGAAGTGATTCTTCGAAGCGCCGAAGCAGCAGGCGAGGGGCGTTGCGTCCATAAGGCGAGAAGAGCATGGCCCAACGCCCACCTGAAGCGTTGGCCTCAGCTGCGAGGACCAGAGCAAGCAGGGCCAGTACAGCAGCCCGCATTGCTGCTCCCGTGCGGCTGCCGCGCGTGTTGCGCTGGGCTGGGGGATTGATTGGTCAATCAAGGAGCGACCAGGGCCTGCGTGGGGGTGGAACCGGTGGAGGCGTAAGCGGGTGCGCTCTCTTGTCACCAGCTCCGCTGGGGCTGGTGACTGGCGGCGCATGGGCCGCCGCCATGTTGTCCTCCTGGGACCACTTGTCACCGTACACGCATGCAGCAAGAATGCGTGCCGCTGCATGCGCATCTGCGGATACCAGAGACGGGGCGTGAAGGCCCCACCAATGAACCAATCTGCGCGCGCATGTTTGACGGGTGGAGATGGCTCTCACCTGCACTATTGACAACTACAGGATATGGCACAAGAAAGTGGTAACCCTTAACAGATCCAACCGCGGGGAAGGGGTGGAGCGCCTCTGCGACGACGCAGCTGATGTGCGTGCGAGGCAGAGGTATGCGCGGAATGTGCCGAGAAACTTTCCGAGAATGAATGCAATGAACCGTTGTGCAAGACAAGCGCGTATGCGGCCCTCCGGGATTTTCACTTGCATCCTGGCACGGTCGCACTGGTGTCCGCAGCTGATTACAACTAGTGTCAACTGCTTCGTGGACCTGCCCCCCCTGTGACAGAGTTTACAGCACGCTTTAACCCATCCAACCCACCGCCTGCCGCAAATGACCGCGCAGTCACGTGCCAAACCAAGGACGAGCCCATGGACGAGCTGGTCAACGCAGAAGGAGACATGACGGCGCTTCCGGCGGGGCTGCCATGCCGAGGATCATTGAAGTCAATCACCTACCAAGTACAGCGCCTGCCTGGCACTGCGTGAAGCTAAGTTGACGAGCACGTGCCGCCATTGTCTGGCTGTCCAAAGCTGCCACAGCTCCACCAAGGGCACACAAATGTATGCAACGCCGCGATGACTGTGGTGGGTTCTGCGCCATCCCAGCGCGCCTGAGCCCAAGTTGGTGCAGACAAGTAGTGGTGCCTTGAAAAGCAGCACGGTGGCGCAGGCAGCCGCAGCTCTGAAACAATACTCGTTTCGCAGATCACAGTCCAGCAGCGCTGCGATGCAGCAGGGGCCGCTGCATGAACCCGATCGTGTGGGTGCCGCCGTCAAAGCCCTCACAATGGACTTCAGGGTTGTGAGAAAGCAGCTCGCCCTAGGCAGACCACCAGCAGGGCAGCACACCGCGTGAAACATGCATTCAGTTGAGCTTTGACATCATGGTTTTTTCGAACAAACACCTCAAAGCCCACAGAGGGCGTCACACCCTGGAAGTGATCTCCACCGCCTGCCGCTTGCGCACCTCCCACCGCGGCGCCCGTGCCCCCTCCTCGCCGTCAGAGTCCAGCAGGTCGCACACCGCGATCTCGTTTCGCTGCACCTCGCGGCCCCCCACCCTCAAAGGCATGTCCTGGGGCTTGGTCAGGTCCAGAAACACGCTGCCGCCGCTGCCACCATCGCCACTACCACCGCCGCCCCCGCCGCCGCCCCCGCCAGCGCCGTGCTCCCGCTTGACCCGCGTGCCGTGCGCCGCCGCAGCAGCTGCCGCCCCAGCCGCGCCGCGCTCACGCTTCACGCTGACGGCCGCCTTGGCCCCGCCCCCGCCGCCGGCGCCGGCCCGGGCGCCCGGGCTGCGGGCCTGCCGCTCGCGCAGTGGCTGCGCCCGGCCTCCCTCGTCGCCGTCTTCGCCCAGCAGGGCCAGCACGGCTGCATTGACACGCAGTGGTTGCACAGCCAGCCTCAGAAAGTCTCGCCAGCAGGCAGGTGGCATACCCCCTGACTTCGCCGCATCTGAGGGCCTCAAGCCAGCAGCGACAGCACGAAGTGCGCCGGGCCCCGCAGCGCCCTGCCCCTCTGTGACATCGCGCATGCAGCAGTCTGCACTCACTGGGGTCCCGGCTGGCGCGCAGCAGCTGCCTGTGTGCGGGGTTGTCCTTGTCCAGGGCCTTGCGCAGCATGAGAGTGGACGCCGTCTCGTAGCGCAGCTCCGCCACGCCCAAAGTCTCCACCTGCACGGGCGGCAGCACGGGCAGGGTGCTGGCGTTGCACGCGCAAAACATGCGAAGGCAGCAGGCGGACCGCCTGCCCACCTTCACGTGCAACCGCAGGGCGCACGGCTCGCGCCGCAGACCTTACCACTCCCTCGTTCGCCCCCCGGGCGGGGGCCCTCGGGGCCTTGCTCATTAATGTGCTCGGTCCAACAGGCCCAAAGCACCACACCAAAGCACCGGTCTCCCTCCGCAAAGGGGGGTGTGGTGCACAGCACGTGATGGCCCTCCCAGGGGATGTGCTTGGTGCCTGCTTTGGTCTGCAGCGAGCGCTCCCACCGTTTGGTAGGTGGTGGTGCTCCACATGGTGGCCTTGGTCTCCTGCTGCCCCTGCGCGGTCTTGAGACTTGGCGCCAGGAAGAACTGGGGGCAGGCAGGGAGGCAACAGGAGGCGCAGGGGCGGCAGCCGAGCGGTGGTGCAGCGCAAGGGGCAACGGTTGGGTTCGCGTGCGCAGTGGGACGCCGGGGAAACCTCGGGCCGGTTTCCCCGGCCGCGGCCTGGAGGACTGGCGTGCGTCGAGTGAGTGTGCGGCAGCTGCCCCGGTCGCGCGCCACCGGCCCCACCTTCTTCCCCTCGGGCAGGTGTCCCAGCGCCGCGCCGCCGCCGTTGCCGCCGCCGGACTCGACGCCTGTCATTATCGGGCCGCTCCTTGTGCCGAGCGGCAATGCTCTTGCAATCTTGACCGTAATGCGGCCGGCCTTGATGTGCTCTGGGTCATTGACCTGTCGCCGCAATCGATTGGGGACAGAAGGCGAGGTCTGGAAAGGGCAGACCGCCAGTCAGCAGGGCTGCTTCTGTCGTATTTGGGAGATGCAGCGGGCGGCGGGCCATGTGGCTTGCCGGCTGTGGGGCTGGGCCACGAGCTGTACCTGTGTGCGGCACATCAGCAGCCCTTTGTGTTGCTGGGGAGGAGAGGGGCTTACGGGGGAACGCACCTGAGGCCCCATGTCTCGGGAGGGGTCTGCCTTGGAGAATTTGAAGCGGCGGTAGGTGCTTGCCCCATGCTCGCTGGCTGCAGGGGGGGAGAGGTTGAGATGCAGGGCAGGTGTGAACCAGGAGTGATGTGTGCATGCCTGGGGCACGCATAGAAGCAGTGTGCCGCAGTGGGGTGGGGCGCCCCTGCAATGTGTTTGCTTGGGCACGCAGGCTTCTGCAGCGCCCGAGTCCAAATTCTGCACGCACCAAGGTGGAGCGTGACCAATGTCAATCCCCAAACACTCACGCGTGCGTAGCAAAAAGCGCTTGCTCATGCTTGCATGCGCACGTGCACACACACACACACACACACACACACATACACACCATAATCGCATGAATTACCACAAAAGAACGCAAATGTCCACGCGCGGCACCGCCCGCACACGCCCACTACACCCCACGAACATGGTGCACACAGGTTGGCTGCACGCGCCCCCACCGGAGATGCAGAACCCTTCATACACATAGCTGCTATTGGGCTTCAGCTTGGGGTAGTTGTAGCCCACTGGCTGCCCGTCTACGTACAGGGAGGCCTGCACGGGTACCAGGAGCGGGCCGTGCCTGATCAGGCGCAACTCACACATGCATGCCGGCGCGGTAGCAGCGTCGCTGGTGCCTGTTGCCTTTTCGACTGTGCATTGCGCATGACATCTTGGGCCGCCTGACAGAAGCCCATGGCCGTGTCGCAGAGCGGCCAACTTGCTGTCGTCGCCATGCAGCGTTGCCTGCGGCCGCGGGCGGCAAAGCGCGGCGCTCACCCGCAGCACTGTGGGGTGGTGGACTAAAGGAAACGTGGGGCCAGTCTGCAGCTCTACCTCGTACTCGCAGCCCTCCTCGGATATAACGTAATGCTTGCCGCCCGGGGTAGTGAGCACGGGCAGCGGGGCGCCATCGACGCAGCGCCGTACTGCGGGTGCAGGGTGGCAGGATGGGGCAGCATTTGAGGGGCCGCGGTGTGCTGCTCCGGGCGAAATTTGTGCTCTGGTGGCAGCCCGATGCTGCATGGTAGCTGTGGCGCACAGTGGCTGCGACATGCTGTGGGTCCGGCCGAGGCGCAGGCCAGGGAGAGGCAGCGCAAAGCGGCGCACGTCCAGTGAGCGCTTGGCGCAGTCTGGGGTGCTCTGCGCATGCCTTCCTTGTCTCACTCGTCAACTTGACTCCTAGTGACGCAAGCGACATGCTGGGACACCGCTTGCGATTGATCTACAGATGGTTTGTAATTAGCCACCGCGCGGGACCGATGGACGCTGCTGATTCTATGCAAACGTAATCGGAAAACTCGAAACACAGAGAATGAGGCCCTGGTACGGCCCACAGCATTGGACACCGCGCTGGGTCACAGTAACAGCAGCCGTGGTGACAGCTGAACAGCTGCTCACACTCGCCGCACGAATCCGTTTGCAGGAGTATCCCCATGACCGGCATGCCTTTACCCCTTGCAAGTCCACCCCATATTGAGTGCTGTTCCCAATTTCTCTCTCACCACCTGACACCCAGGCAGGCATGCATGCGTGGTAGCTTGACCTTGCCCGCTGTTCGCACTCTGATTGACACTTGCTTTTTGGACCCGGCAGCCATGATTGCCGAGAAGGGACTGCATCGCAAATCAAACAGGTGTGGTACGCCAAGGCGGCTGGACTGCCATGCCTGCGGACAGCTGAGCTTCTTTTTGGACAATGCAGCGCAAATGGATGCCTGAAATACCACCCTGACCACTTTGGCAGAGGTGTTGGCAGCAGGTCAATAGTCAACATGCTGGAGACAACGGGGACGACGACTGGCAAAACGCCAAGTTGCCATGTCACAGGAACGCAGTTACACAACCGCTCAACAGAGAGGAAGGAAGCTGTGCAAAACGCGAGTTGCAGGACAACATTTTCTTGCGGGATGGGTGACAGGTCACAGCGTTCATGGTTGGGACGTAACAAACACAAAAGTCAACATAATCAATAAGGCAGCCCAGCAGCTAATCTTAGCACCGTGCTTGTGCAAGTAGCATCGAAGGCCGCTCGTGCGCCCTCGCTCACGCGCCCTCCAGGTCCACCGCCTGCCGCTTGCGCACCTCCCACCGTGGCGCCGCGCCCTCCTGCTCGCCGTCAGAGTCCAGCAGGTCGCACACCGCGATCTCGTCGGCCTTGACCTCGCGGCCCCCCACCCTCAAAGGCACCTCCTGGGGCTTGGTCAGGTCCAGGAACGCGCTGCCACCGCCCAGCCCTGGCTCCCGCTTGACGCGCCCCCCGTCGGACTTGACACGCGCCCCCCCGCTCTCGGCGCCGCGCTCGCGCTTGACGCCTGGCGCCGGCGCGGCCGGCCGCCGCGCGCCGCCGCGCGCAGCCCGGCTGTGCTGATCCTCGCCCTCGTCGTCGCTGTCTCCCAGCAGCGCCAGCACGGCTGCGGTTGGGCCGCCCAGGCGGGGCAGCCAGGCGTGTGCACGGCGTTGGCAGGGAGTTTGTGAGGGGCACGGCAGGCGAGGGCCTGACGCCAACCGGGAGCGCAATCTGATACACACTGCTGAACGCCGCGCATGCGACGCGGCATTGATGAGGCGGGCCTCGGCCCACAGGGCGCTGCGGCAGCAGCCTCCACTCACTGGGATCCCTGCTGCCGCGCAGCAGCTGCCTGTGTGCGGGGTTCGCTTTGTTTAGATGCCCGCGCAGCATGAGGGTAGATGCCGTCTCGTAGCGCAGCTCCATCACGCCCAGGGTAGCCACCTGCAATTAAGAGGGCGTGCGCAAGAGGCTTGGGGCGGGTCATGCCGTAGGGAGCCTAGCACATGCAGGGTCCAACGCAAGCAGCATGTCGCAGGCGCAAAAGCCCGGGGCACACGACTGGATGCCGCATCGAGGGTCCCACCCCCTGCCCAGCAGCCCCTCGCTGCACCTTGGTGTACACGGTCTTGCACCAGTTGACCTGCTTGTAGTCAGAGTTGCCCTGGGCGGTCTTGAGGCTGGGGGCCAGGAAGAACTGCGCATGCGGGTCGCACGAGGGCCGGGCGAGCAGCAGGGCTGTGCACAGAGGACACGTGGGGTGTGGCCCTGCCGCGGATAACGCCTGCGAGCTCTACATAGCCCTCGTACACAGCAGCAGAGAGCTTCGGCGGAGCGGCTGCGGCTCTTGCGTCGAATCAGGGCCACCGCCTCGCGGCAGCAGCAAGGTTAGGGCCAATCACATCCCCCATCCCTGGCCAGCGCTGCGCCGCGCCACCGCCCCCCACCTTCTTGCCCTCGGGCAGGTGCCCCAGAGCGGCGCCGCCGCCCACTGCGCCCGCTGACGGCGGCGTCGTCCTGAGCCCCGCAGCCACCGACCGGCGCAGCTCCAGTGTGATGCGGCCGGCCTTTATCTGCTCGGGATCAGTCACCTGCAGGGGGGGGTGCGTGTGCATGTGGGGGTTGGGTGCCTTTCAGGGTCGGCACAGTTGCTGTAGCGCGGGGCTGGGCTTCCAGGATACGTGCTGGCAGGTCAGACGACATGCAGATGACAGCGTGCGGCAGGCAGCGCGTCGGGGCGCGCGAAGCATGGGTGTGAAGCGGATGGGCGGCTTCCACTGGTGGTGTGGCAGCTGGGGCGCGCGCTAGTGGCCTTTTCGAGCATGCTGCGTGGGCAGCAGGCACCTGCAGCTGGTGCGGCAGAATTCACCTGGGGCCCCATGTCTTGGGAGGGGTCCGCCTTTGAGAATTTGAAGCGGCGGTAGGTGCTTGCCCCATATTCGCTGGCTGCAGCGGATTCAGGTGGTCGCATGGCGGCCGACTCAATTGAAGAGCAGAAAGGGCCGGCGTGCAATCTGCGCAGGGGTACCCGCGGCCCCGTCGTCCGACTGATCATGGCAGCATGCAACGCGCATGGCTGCCACGCCGCGCAAGGTGCAGGCACCTGCTATGCAGAACCCCTCGAAAACAATGGTCGAGTTGGGCAAGAGATTCGTCTTGAGGTACCCCACTGCCTCGCCGTCCACCTTCAGCTCTGCCTGTTGGGTGAGGTCGGGCGGACGCATACGCTGGAGCCTCAGCGCGCCCGCTGCCTATGAATGGTTTCAGCGGGGTGCGCGCAGGAGACGGAGACGGCATCGAGCCATGCGGCCGGGGTCTGCCTGGAGGAGGGCGTGCGTGGCGCCCCGCCCACCTCGACGGCCATGTTGGCTGGGACCACAGGAAAGCCCTTGTCGGCCTGCAGGACCACCTCATACTCCAGCCCCTCCTCGGACAGCACAAACAGCTTGCCGCCCGGGGTGGTGATGATGGGGAGCGCACTGCCGTCGGAGCAGCGGCGCACTGCGGCCAGAGAGCACACATGGGAACAGGCGTTCTTTAATGGGGGGGCAGTGATGGGGCGTGAAGGTGCAAAGGGCGTGCTTGTGGCTGCCTGACCAGTGATGACGTATCTGGCGTCGGCAAACCAGTAGCAGGTGGCAGGGGTGGGAGGACACTTGACAAGTCGAGGGCGCGCAGACGCACGCGCAAAGTACTGTACGGGGCGCGCTTTGCTGCTCGTCTGCGCTCCAAGCAAGTACCTCGCCACTGCTGGAAGCCAAACCTGGAGCTTAAGGTGGCCCCTCACCTATCAGCCTTGCTCCCAGCTCGGGAAGAGACATGCTGTGTCGAAGCGAATTGTTGCGCTCTCACCCTCTCGCTGGCGCGGCCCTTCTAGCGCGCTTGACTTTTTTATTGTCCAAAGTTCAAGGGGTCGACTTTTCAACACGCCAGGAACAAGAAAGAGCCCAGATCGGCCCGTAAAGTTTGAACGTGTCGAGGAGCGTTGCTAGACCGCCTGAGTCTCTAAGGGATGTCCATGTCATGGATTTGCACGTTCCAAACAGGCTCGGCGCGCTCCATGCCCGCTCGCTTCTCTCTGTCGCATCTGGTCACTCGCCGTACTTGGTCACTCGCCTTCAGAGCAGTGCGCCCATGTGTCACATTCTTGTGAATTCCCGGCGTGCTGAAGTCCCACACGGAGGATGTGACGGAATGGGAAGTGAGAACAGAAGTATATCTCCACTACTGAGAATAATGGTACCCAACACAGCACAATGCACACACCTCAACTGCCCCACACCGCGATGCAACGCAGGGGCATGACAGCCCCATCTACAGGTGTCCCTGATCGTTTTCTGGTCCAGCGCACAAGTGCGCATGCACACATGCTCTCTCGCATGGCCCTACACTGGTGACAAACGTTGGTTCTGAAAGCAGCGGATACCAGGAGCGGCTGGGCGAGCTCGGGTGTGGATTTTTGCCAAAGACAGACTTATGGACCCAACTGAATCTGGTTGCCAAGCGTTATAACCGCCACGCAATATCAGCTCAAAAGCAAGGCATGATGCTCGAAGTTACATACAAGGTCGAACAACGACCCTCTGGACAAAATTGATGTTGTCAGAAAGCAAGTCAGTGCAGGACCGGGAGTCAATTGCGAATGCGCATACATGACATCGTACCCAATGACAAACTCCTCATGCGCCGTCCAGGTCCACCGCCTGCCGCTTGCGCACCTCCCACCGCGGCGCCGCGCCATCCTCCTCGCCGTCAGAGTCCAGCAGGTCGCACACCGCAATCTCGTCGGTCTTGACCTCGCGGCCCCCCACCCTCAAAGGCATCTCCTGGGGTTTTGTCAGGTCCAGGAACGCGCTGCCACCCCCACTGCCGCTGGCACCGCCACACCCCTGCTCGTGCTTGACAAGTGATGCATGCGCCGGAGACTCTGCCACTGATTCATCTTGCCCCGCCCTCCCCGAGCCCCGCTCCCGCTTTACGCCAGGATGCTGCTGCTGCCGTTGCCGCCGCTGCTGCTGCTGAGCGCCGCTGCCGCCAGCTCCGTCCTGTGTTGTCAACCTCTGCTGCTGCCGCACACCCTCGCGCACCCCTTCGTCGCTGCCGTGTCCCAAGAGAGCCCGCACGCCTATGAAGGCGGGAGGAAGGGTGCAAGACAAGTGGGCTCATCATGGCCGCCCAAGTTACCAAGCAAAGCACGAACTCACGCAGGCAACCAGGGGCTTGCCACTGCCGCTTCGCATGCACGCAATCCTCAGAGCAGGTCTGGAGAGCACCCTGAGTTTGACACGACCAATGCTGCGTGGCACCCCGTGCACAGCTGCGCTCCACAGCTGCGTGAGCAGCATGCACTCACCGGGGTCCCGGCTGGCGCGCAGCAGCTGCCTGTGTGCGGGGTTGTCCTTGTCCAGGGCCTTGCGCAGCATGAGAGTGGACGCTGTCTCGTAGCGCAGCTCCATCACGCCCAGGGCGTCCACCTACAAGGCAGGCCGCAGGGTGCAACTCTTTGACGTTGTCCATTATGGGATGGAGGTGTGCACAGACCAAGAATCCCACTTGTCCATGCCCCATGAATCCTGCTTTGGCAGACCCAGAGGTTGCTGAGCAACACCATTTCCTGTGCTAGGGTACTCACAACAGCAAATGACCTCTTGTTCCAGTTGACAGCCAGGCTGTCTGCACGGCCCCTCTCTGTCTTCAGGCTGGGCGCCAGGAAAAACTGCAGTCGTCATGGAAGCCGGGCAGGCGCAACGAGTGGAGGCTCAAATCGAATCCCGGGGTGCCATGAATGCGTGGTGACAGTAAACGCAAGGAACGCTGGTCTGTTGGCTGATCCAGGCGGGTGCCGCAGCTGACGTTGGGGCCGCTGAGCTGGACGGCAGGCGCATGGATTGCACATGAGGCGCCGAGCTTGAACTCCGCCAGAGCCTACCTTCTTGCCCTCTGGCAGGTGACCAAGAGCCGCGTTGTTCCCGACACCAATCCCAGGGTTTGGGGGCCCCTGTCGCGTGCCGGTCTCGACATACCTTCGGGAGGAGAAGCAGGAGCGAAGGGGCAGGGTGGCGGCACTTGCAGGAAAGTGAACAACGTCCGCAGCATGGTGCAATCAAGGCTGTGGCGAACACGCATGCCAAACGTTACGTAGGCGCAGGCAGTGCTGCAGGTGGTGCCTGTAACTACTTGCTCCCGGGGCTGACTCACCAGGACACCGTCACCTCGATGCGGCCGGCCTTGATCTGCTCGGGGTCAGTGACCTGGCGGAGGTGGGGAGGCGGGAGCATGGCAGGCGAAGGTACAGGTGATGCGGCAAGACGCGCTGCCTCATCGCGCAGCTGTCAAGGAGGGTTTAATGCGTGCGCTGCCCATCACCCCGCCAGGCCGAAGGGCCGACCGAAACTCTGCACACTGTGCGCCGCCCCAAGAGCACACACCAACGCGCACCTCTGGCCCTGCATCCTGCGACGGGTCGGCCCTCGCAAATCTAAACCGCTGGTAGGTGGTCTGATACGCGTCCCCGGCCACGCCCGCCTGGCCGCCAATCTGCGTGCAGAAGCCCTCAAACTTTGCCTGCTCCAGCCACCGCCCGTTGTCGTAGCCGATTGTGTACCAGTAACCAACCTTTTGACCATCCACCTTCAAGTCCACCTGAAACAACATGATTTTGTGTGTGATCAACGTGCAGATTGAGAGCGTCCATGTGCGAGTAGTCGAGAGGCAGTGGACAAGGCCATGCTGGGAAAACTGACCAACCGTGCCGCGCTTGCCATGGTGCAAACCACACCACCGCGCAGGTAGGCAGGCGCACAGCCACGCGTGCATTTATGCGCGTGGCTCAGAAGCAGCCAGCGCTGGTGACGCCGCATCCGTGCGTTCACGGCGTGCATGCGGGCCACATGCAGCACCACGCGACCCATGCGGCTCCGCAAGTTTGCATGCTGTAGGCTCACCCCCAGGACAAAGCCCGGCTGCACCGGCAGGAGGCTGCGGTCGGCGGCGCGCACGACCACGTCGTACTCGAGGCCCTCCTCAGACAGCACGTACCGCCTGCCGCCGGCGGTGGTGACAATAGGAAGGTCTGTGCTGTCCGATCGGCGCCGGACTGGGTCGATGCCAGCGTAGCGAGCAGCGTTGTGCGCGCAGTTGGGGCAGTGAGCCGAAAGGAAGGTGGGGCACGCGACTGGCATAGCTGTCAGGCGCGTCATACACATCTCTATCTAATAGCTGTGCCAAAGGGCACGCGGAGTGCTGGTGAGTGTGCAACAGCACAGCTGTCCTCGAGCTGCGAAGCGCGAGCAGCATGCCGTGCGGCGCGCCCCTGCTGGACCCGCCAAAGAGAGCCACGATGAGCGCGAGCCGCAGCGTCGCACCGAAGACGCTCAGTCCGTAATCCATACGGCCACGCAGAGCTCCAGAGAATGTCTACTAGGCCTGCAGGCCTTCTCGATGGCACACTTGCGCACAAGTGTCGCGCACAGCGCTGAAGTTCCGCGTGGCGCTCGCGTAACCCGTTTGTTTAGGTCCATCAGTTTAGCAGACAGGAACTGCCCCAGAGATCATCAAAGCTGTTTGCAGTTTTTGTCACTCAGGTGTGCACCGTACGGTACACAAAGTCTGCCCGAGGACCACCCCACATATATTCACGTGCATTGTGACTGCGTACGCGGCGCTCGTTGTGGCGTTGTGGCCGCCGTCACTGCACGCACGAGTCCAGCGGCCGGAGCTCTCCCCCAGCTGCTCCGCCCAACACTACCTTCGTTGCCCCTCGCAAGCTCGCCCGCTGTGGCCCTGTCACTCGATACCACAACAATGGGGTCTGGACGGCATGCCCAAAACTTGGTAACAGACTGCAAACTGTGCACAACATATGAGGAGGTGGGGTGAAAGTGGACGCTGGGCTGATTTCTCACTGCCCAGGGCTCCCCGCAGCCTGCAGACCTACAAAACGTCATTGATAATGTAATTCTTAGTTCCAGATGCGGGTGCAAAGGAGCTCGTGGTCTGCAGCGAGAGTTGGCCCCCGAGTAGCCGTGGCGAAGGTGGGGGCAAAGTGGACGTTCATGGAACTGAGACCCACTGGGCTGCTAAGCTGTGACAAAACATATCATATGAATTATAGTAGCATATCGATGTCTCTCGGGGCCTATCAGGCAGCCCTGCCAGACGTCCATTGCACTGGCTGGTTGCTGCCAGTGACCACCTGCACTGTGGACGATGGCAAAATCGCACCAGCGCGCGTGCGCTAAGCCAAGTAGAATCTATTAATCAGTAAGATTGCGTTTGTGAGGTTCGGGAGGGTGGGAGAGCAGCGAGCAGGAATCGCAAGTGACCAACGCTGGAGGCCCCGAGCAAGTGGCCAGTGCGCGAGCGGTGAACTGTGTGAGTGGATCTCAGAGACGTGTTAAATCATATACTTCAACATATGTGAGATACAGCAGCACAAGAGCCTCCTGCAGAAAGCGTCCACATTGCCCCTGCGTCCACTTTCACCCCACCTCCTCATAGCGAGCTGCGCCTGCAGGCAAGTGTGTGCAGCACACTGGGTATCACCGACCGTTCACCGTTTGACCAACCAAAGATGTGCTCGGTTCTATGAAAACTCAGGACCATCGAAGAAGATACACGGGAGCCTACATGTACCCCCGCCCACAGCTTACTTGCATGCCCACTAAAAAGGATGTGCTCAAATGTTTTGAAACTTGGAACCAACAATACACCGGACAACTTGTAGCCCCGCCAATCAGGCACCTATTATAATACGCGCTGGCCCCGCCGCCGCCTGTCCCTGTGTCTCTGCAGCCAGCGGGGTGACATCACCCCGCCATGCCTTGCACATGCAGCTTCAGTCTGGAGCCCAGAGCTGGGTCACATCCGCTGTTGAGATGCAAGGACAGCTCACTCAACCACTGTCCTCCTTGATGCCGCAGACAACTTGATCAAAGTTACATGCGCTCGGATCAAGATCCTTGCAGCAGGCTATTTGACAGGTCGCAGTTGTTGATTGGTCGCTACAGGAAGGTATGTGCTACGCTACGGGGCCTGCGTCTGCATGGTGCTAAGATGTGTTATCTACATTGTGTATTTTGGTACTGAACAAGGAGTGCACAAGAAGATGCTTTGCTTGTCAATCAACCTTGTTGAGGGTGCAGCCATGCATGAGCGTCGCAGCTCCTTAGGACTGACCCCTGCAGCTGCTGGAACAACAACGTGCAAAAAGAAACTTTGCGCATGGCACCTGATTGCAGTGCATGCTGTTTCACAAGCTCTCCTGGCTGCCGCCAGCGGCAAGGCGTATGAGGCATAGGGGCTTGCGAGCAGGCGCAAACCCTCAGATGTGCTGCCTAGTGGCCGCCGGCGATCAGGGCCGCGGCGGGGTCCAGTTCCCGCACCTTTGGCGGCGCCACGCCCACATAACCCGTGAGGTCCGCCAGCTTTGCCACGGCCCATCGGCGGAACGCGTTGATATCCGGCGCCGCGCCGCCATGGGCGCGCGCGTGGCGACGGACAAATGCGTCTGCGGCGGAGTAGTATGCCTTTGGGGGAAGGACGTGCGGCGGATGGAAAATTGAGTTCAAGGAGTGAGGCACAAGGGTTATGGGCTTGATGTGTGGGCGGCGCTCTCGACAGCAAGCTGCCTGTTGACACATGCATACTTCCTTGTTGAGAGGTGTGGTCACGTGTCCCCCCCAAGCAACCTCACCCTTTTGAGAGAGAATATGTCTTTTCAACACACAGCAGAATAGCGCTCATAAAAACCGTCCCACCTTGAGTGCGGCAAACACGGGCTCATCTTGCCCCTGGTCGTTGACCAGCCAGTAGCCCTTGTCGCAGCGCTGGCCCTTGGCATCGGTGCCCTTCTCGTTGCTGTAGCTGCGGGGTCAGTCAAATGGGTGAAAGGCGGTGGAATTGAGGTCAGAGCAGGTGGTGGGGCAACCATGAAATGACCCTGGCTGTTTGCGCAAAATCACCCACCCTGGCTGAATCGGAGCATATGGCAGTTTCTCAAAGGGCATGTGCGCATTCACTGCCCACGACCCACAGGCCCTGTCAGTCTTGGCCCAAGGCCACTGAACCAGTAGACACCACTCAGCTCGTCGCCGCCGAATCGTCCAACAGCAGGACTCTGAGCACACATTCTTTCTCCCTGCCCCCTGCAAAAACCGTCAAACGCACCCCTGCCACCCAAAGCGACGATGAAAAAGAAGTGACGTCCATTCATGGAATCCCCAACCTTTTGCACAGCAAATTTGCTTGACACGTCTGCTCCCACGCGAAGCGCCCCCCCCCCCAATACACACACAAACGTCTTGTACCCACAGCTCCCAGTATAAGTTCATGGGTGAACCCCATGCGATGGCGCTAGCCGCGTGCCACAGGGTGCGCTGTTTGATAATCTCAGAGGTAGTGTCCATGTGAGGGCCCTGGCCTGCCTTGACCGGCGGCGCGTCAGCCGCAGTGCAGTTGTTGTTGCGCAGGAAGTAGCCAAACTGCGTGTGTGGATTGAGAATTTGTTTGCATCAACAAAGTGACGCAGAACATCGCACCATACACCAATTGATCCCACAAGTCCAATTGGGAGGTTTGGGTGATCATCCGGGCAGCAACAACTGCAGGACAACTTGCGTGGTAGGCAGAGCAACTTGCTCTGCCTTGTGTTTGATTCCCAACGCAACACCTCACCTCGCCCACGAAGACGCGCGGCTCAGGGACGCAGGGCTTGGGGGGCAAGTGGCAATTGATGAAGTCCAGTGCGTCCCCCAGAACTGTGCCGATCTCATCTGCAGACTGTGTAATGTAGGGAATCGGGAGAAAATGCCTCATCTGTATGTGCAAGACGTGCAAGCGTGTCACGTGCCAGGAAGAGCAGGATGCCTGCAGCTTTCAGGGCTGTCGTCTCGGAGACGCACGCATTCGCGCCTGTCAATCATAGTTCGATGCCGTTGCATGGCCTCACCCTTTGCTGGGCCTCCTCGATCTCCCTGCAGCAGAGAGGTGGCAGTCAGTAGCAGTTGGCAATGAAATTGAATTCACAAGCAGAGACGTTGAGGCGGCTGCATGAATAGTTGCAAGATGTGAAGGGATTGGGCCACACAAACATGCGTGCCTAAATGCGCACACACGCACTCAAACACACCCACGCGCGCACGCGCGCACGCGCGCGCACACACACACCCCCACACACACATGCGTGCGCATACACATACACACCACACCGCTCCACACACAAGCATGTGTTTGCACGCACACTGTGGCTTTTGAAATGTGGCACATCTTAGATAGCACACACACCAGTTGGAGTAGGAGATGAAGTCAATGGGTGGGTTGATGTTTGGCACGATTTGGTTGATGAATGCAGGGTAGGACGAGTTGCCCATCGCCGTCAGGACCTAAATCAGGGTATTGCAAAAGGCGTGTTTGAGGTGGCAGTAGGGGTTGATGAAGGCGCTGTCGCCAAACAAATGCACTTTCGAGATATATGGGTGAGAGATTTTGGCGTGCTTCAACCATTCGAGACGCACCCCCATACTATTGCTGTTTATCCGGGTTTGATGCTCCACACCTGCTGCAAACACCATCACCCAACGGTGGCAGCAGCAGCAGCAGCAGCAGCAGCAGCAGCGGCAGCAGCAGCAGCAGCAGCAGCAGCGGCAGCAGCAGCGGCAGCAGCAGCAGCGGCAGCAGCAGCGGCAGCAGCAGCGGCGCCAGCAGCGGCAGCAGCAGCGGCAGTGGCAGCGGCAGCGGCGGCGGCTCTGGCGGCGGCGGCACACCCCCGCACCCTGTCGCCTCACCCGGTTGACC